GAAGCTGACGATACTCAATCTACGGCTGAGTTAGCAGCAGCTCTCAACGTTAACATAAACGTGGTCCCCTGTCAAAAAAATGTTAATAACGATGAATCAAAGGCGATAGTGGAAGCTGACGATACTCAATCTACGGCTGAGTTAGCAGCAGCTCTCAACGTTAACATAAACGTGGTCCCCTGTCAAAAAAATGTTAATAACGATGAATCAAAGGCGATAGTAGAAGCTGACGATACTCAATCTACGTCTGAGTAAGCAGCAGCTCTCAACGTTCATATAAAACAATATTAGACCATTTGCTTCAAATCCCCAAGATAAAAAAACTTGATAAGTGGATGCCGCACAAACTAAACAATCGCCAGCCCGACCAACACGTTAAGGTATACCTTGCGTTTGGTGCGGTACGGCTTTAAAAATATCCCTGGGCCCGCCGTCAGCTCCCAGAATCTGCAGAATCATAAGCGGGTATCAAGTTGGTAAGACCTTGGTTCAACCTAGACGATAAACCTAAATGAAAACTTATCCCCAAAAATTAAAGGCCACTGTTTGGTGGTATGGTGCCGGTTTTATTAATCACAGCTTCTCACCAAATGTCACCACCCTGCATTACTACGGATGTGTACTGTGAGGAACTGGCTTGGACCCTTTGGCTTAATAACGTCCGTTTGCAATAAATATTCACGCTTTTCAAACATTTAAAGCAATGCCCTTGGCAATTCAGCGGTTTGTCGACCGCAAGCAGCTGATGTCAAAGACATCTTGAATCCTGAATAGATATTATATTCTCCAAAAAAGGAATACCAGTGTGAATAAAATTTTATCCATCACGGATTTCTCAAGTCTTTTGAAGGTAAATGTGGTGCCATGGCAACTCGTTGATTGACCTCAACATAGCTGGAATACTCGTGATGTTAGGGGATTTCGATCATTCCACTTATTAAACGGGAATCAATTGCTCCATGACTACATAAATAATGGTTTAAAAAAAAACAAAAAAAATACGCTTTTATAGAAAATCCAATTAAAAAATTTAAAATAAATATTAATAAATTTGAATTATAAATAGTTTACGAAAAAAATTAATTTATTGTAAAAAAAATGTAAAAAATTTGTCATCGTTCCTTAATAAGTATGCCAAAGGACAATGCCCAAAAGTGGGCCAACTTTATGTCTAAACTATTTGTACTTGAAAAACTATGCCTTATTTTTTCACGTTGTTTAGTTTATGTATCAACATTTCTTTCAACCTGGCATTGTTTTCCAAAAAAATAAATTAATTATTTGATAACATCCTAAAACTATATAAACTAACTATAAACTACGTTTTTAAATTTGCCAATAGGCAAAGGGCTTAGCCCATACAGCCTTATAGCAAACCTATATGCTGTCAAACGAAAGAGTTGTTTGTGACTTGAACAACAAATTAAAAAAATAGCTATGCTTATAATTCACAGGCTTCTTAGTTTATTTTTGTTCAATTCAATATTTATATATTGTAATAATAATTATTACTTAAAACCATGAATTATTGAATATTTTTAGATATTAATGATTCCATTAGTAAAAATATCAATGGCCTACCATTACTCTATTCTTATTATATATGATCAGAGAGTTTTGGCAGCAACCCGAGTGAAGCGTCACTTGAATTTTTATTTTAATGTTTTTTAATAGTTTATTGTGTAATTTGTATTATTTGTATTTGTAATATTGTGTATAAAAGGTCTGCGTAAACTCATGCTCAGTCAATGTGGTATTCGTCGAGTTGACGTCAAAACTCCCAAAAAGCAATAAAAAGAGATACACCGGCTTTTTATTGACATAAAAAATATATAACTTCGACAGACTAGGCTGTATAGGCTACGCTCTTTGCCTGCTTATTGGTGAATTTAAAAACAACAACAACAATATCGTTGCCGGCTTCCGGATTTTCATTTCATTTTATTATTATTATGAGGATATAATAATAATAAAATGTACGTAAGGGCTTATTTCTAGCAACATTAACCACAATTAACTTATTTAATACTGTAAATAATTATGAGAGCGATTATTGATTTCGAAGAAAACAATTAACAACTTAATTTTAGCTGCAGAAAAAAACAGATTTCTCTTAAACCTGGGTGAGAATATAAAAATCGTTTTCTGAATATGAAACGATATTTCTTTGTCTATCAAATTAAGTTAAAACCATCATGACAGGACAACTTTTTTTAGGGGCCCAAACGCCCATACAAAATGGGCATTGTCCTTTAGAGTTAATTCGACGTTTTGAAGGGGGTCAAAATTATGTTCAAAGATTCCATACTAACATATATATGAAGCTAATAAAAGCGTATTAAAAATAAGCAACTGGTATTGACGATACGAAGTAATGCGATTCTTAACAGTGAAATTCACTTTGGAATCAAAACTATCCCCGCGGGGTACTATTGTTTTGTCACGTATTTATTGGGTTGCTTTCTTGTATCTTAAAATACCTATTATGTTCTTATACTTAAAAATTGAACATGGACCAATTTCATAAATATAAATTAAAGGGTCTTTATCACATTTTTATAAGCTATATTTCTAGAATTTGCTTATTGCCTTATACTGACTTCCCGATGTGCTAGAGATTTAACGTTCCTGAAAATAAATTATTGTAAGGAGGGCCTGCGGACCGTCGGGCCTATGGCGCGCATATGGCGGTACCTGGGTCCCCGCCCAGCCGGAGTGGAGGAGCTCGTCGGGGTTTAGTCGGTAGTCGTTAAGCTGGGCGGGTTTGGCGAGAGCTGAACTTAGCCCAGCGCGCCTTTCTAAAGGCGTAGTCTCCGTGGACCAATTGGTTGAGGGCGCGGACCTCGGTTCGCGACTTCTTCCTCTTTCTTCCACCGGAGGCGCGGAGTCCAACATAACCCGGTCCGACCCCCTTCGGCAGGGTATCCGTAAAGACTAGGATTACCCATCGATACCAAAAAAAAAAAAAAAAGGGCCTGCGGACCGTCCAGTCGCATATTCTCCCCGCTTACATTTAAAGAAATAATATATTATTTCGAGCGTATTGTACTTTTTAAATACTTGTAGCGGTGGCTTTTAAAAAAATAATCATATAAGGTCCATCGCTTTTAGAAAAATTACTGGCTTTGTAGCTCCTCATGGATAATTTGGTGCCTTTGGACTTCGGTTTTGCTCTACAATTTTATAAGGAAGAAAGAATTTCAAATTATGCCAAATTATGGCAACATATCGGACCTGATCTGTGAATTGCTATGCAAAAAACAATTCCACAACGGAATAAATTGAACGATATAATCAAGGTTTTAAATATTCATGAAACGGAATGTGCATAGAGCACGGCTCGCAAATCATAAGGCTAGCGTTAACAGTCCAAAGTGGAGAATTATGCGACAAATAAACAAATGCACGCCGACCTGATTCCCCGATATGCTAATTTGTATCATTTTATTATAATGTTCGTCTATTGTGATGCTTGAACAGCGATTTTATATCTTACAGTCTGGTCTGGTCGGATAATGGTTTGTCTGATTTACCTACATATCACACATCTATAGAAGATACGGAAAAGCGACATAACCTGAAATCTGAGTTTCACGTGTTTTTTAATAACTATGGTTTTAGTTATTACAAATATTGGTTTTCAACCCGATCGAAGTCATGTCTTCAAGCTGCTGTATATCTTTTTTATTTTTTACTTTGGAAAAAAAAGACAATTAACTGGAATGAGCGGCAGATAATCATGCTCGATAGTGCTAAGTGATCAGAAACTAGTCCAAGAGTTGAAGTTGTACGCTCAGCAACATTATTGGACAAAACATTGGCCAGTGTCAAAAATTTTTCAAACTCCAATTCCGAATCGCTTTTAAATCTGCTTGATTACTCGTTGGGTTGCAGGTTGATAATCTCGTGAATTAAAACTGCGCATTGAGTACTTAGTGCCACTACAAAATCACGCGTAATTGTGATAAAAAACCGCTGACGCTTCCCATCAAGGCAGTGCCATCGTTAAATAAAAGGCGAGCATTCCGTATAAATTTTCGCGAGTTCTAGAGCAAAATAATCATATTCTCGCTTCATTTGCTTGCTTCCGTAGCGTAATTCGCTATCTCCGTGGATACTGCGTTGATTCCACTCGATTCTGAATTTTGTTTAAAGGAATCTTCTTCTTTCTGTACCGACCATGCATTTTTTCATACGAATACGTACAGCATGTTTGTTTACAAATTGGTTGAATAGTCTTCTATTGCCTCGAACTGTTTCGATTTCCCTTGGACTTTTTTATTAACAAAACCAACAAAATCTACGATTTTAATGAAATTTTGCCACGGCTTATAAACATTAATTACACCATTTGCAGCTTAACTCCTGCCTGCAAATTTTGAGATAACCCTATTTTCAATATATGGTCAAAGCCAGCAGGAAAAGATGGTCATAAGTAAAGATTCATAAAATCTTCCCCTACAATACTAGTCAAGAGTGAAACGACTAAGAAAAATAAGTCAAAACCTTAAAAAAAGAAAATAGCATCAAATTCGATTGAGATATATAATAAACAAAATAAACATATTTTATTTCGAGACATCATAATATTTAGTATATCTAAGTATATCAACTCTGTCCTTAGCAGCCTCTATTTCTGCTAATACCCTCAAGACGTTGATGCTTGATTTGATTTGATTTGATTTGATTTGTGCATTGGCGAACACACCTGATGCACTGCAGGGTACTAGGGTGGAAGTCTCAACAACGCCCTGAAGGTATTGTGGAAAAAATAGTTTAGGAATTGCAAGTGTCTTCTTCGCATAGATTTTTAGTGGTAAGTGTTATGTTTCACTGACTTACATAATTATCGCGTTAATGCATTATTGAATTCACTGACGAGTAATAAAACCATATTAACATTGCATTATCATGGTCGGCGCAAGAATCCTGATAATAGAACTGATAATAATGTATTACGCAAAATTTACTCTAATCAATGAATCTTTGAAGATAGCTTAATTGTGTCACCGATATCTAAAAATAAACTTATCATTTATCGGTTTATCAATAACTGAATATGCTCCGTTGTTTCACACAATTTAAACTTGTGTTTCTAAAATTAACCAAAAGTGAAATACGGTAACATTAAAAACAGCCAATGATAATGACCTAACTGGTTTGATTTAAATTTTAGCTCCACAAAGCAAAAATACTGAGGATCTTTAGTTAGTGCGCCATAATGCAGATCTGCTTTATATAGTTCTAGACATACT